CCCCCCCCCCCCCCGTCTTTCCCCTCTCCTCGCCAGAGCCCTGCAGAGCCCTGCCAGAGAGAACGTCAACTTGTGTTGTCTCTGGAGCCCTGCAAGCGGGCGTGCATCGGATGCCCACATATGGCGTCCGAAAGCGGTAGAGGGAGTGAGAAGCTCACTACGGGCTACACACTCACAGCTCCCTCTCCCTGCCACTTGCTTTCGGGCGCCAACGAGTGGGCATCCGATGCCCGGCCCCCGGCCCGCCCGCCTCGTCTGACGCCCGACGAGTGGACGATAGGCCACCGGCAAAGACGGGGCCCACGTTCTTTGCCTACCTACCAGGCGCTAGAACCAAGTCGGTTGACGGAGAAAACCTCTTCCTCAAACTTGTCTGTACACTTTTTTGCTCGTCTATTCCAATGTATAATTTCGGGTATGGAGGGAAGAGATAAGCGGGGCATTCTTTCAATCAGAAGTTTGACAGCTTTATTTGAGTTTCACCATGATAGATTGGAATGGTTATGGACGGTTGGGCAGGTAGACAGTTCCTGTTTGAGGGAAAAGCAGACGTGGCTATTGTATCGCGCCTCTCGCAGCTCTGGATGGCACTTCAGTTTGCACGCGTAGCAGTCTCTACAGGTTGACAGTGGCTTGAGATCATCATCATAGGAAATATTATCGCGCCAGCCGACACGCACTTGCAGGGAGGGGTTGGCCGCCAGCAGCGCCTTGACCGACGGCCTGTGCGTCCAGTCGTGGGCGCAGGCCACCACGGTGAGGCGCCGCAGCGCCGGCGCGGTGGCGGGGGTGAGGCCCCGCAGCAGCTGCTCGTAGGGCTCGTCCGACTCGTGCGACTCGTCGAGTGGTTCGTGCCTGTGCGACTCGTCCTGCGGCTGCCTACGCCTACAGCAGTCCAGGTCCAGCTCCCGCAGGGCCGGCAGCTCCGGCAGCGCGTCGAGGAGCGCCCGCTCCAGCTGCTGTTGTCCGTCGCAACGACACACGACACAGAGCTTCTCGACGTGTGAGCGCGCGCCCCCCTTGGCCAGGGCCTTGACCAGCGCCGCGGGGAACTGGGAGGAGTGTGCACCATAACCGCACTGGAGCGATACCTGCCGCAGCTGGCGGGCCTGGCGGAGGAAAGACTCGGCACCGGCGACAGCCTCAGCGGAGGCGGACTCTTCTTCCCGACCTTTCACCCAAATGGACAGGACCTGCAGGGACTCGCTCGCCGACAGGGCCTCCAGCCCCACCTGCAGCCGGCAGGTGAGCTCGCGGAGGCGCGGGAGTCCGGCCAGCAGCTGCAGCGTCGAGGTGGACGCGGGCCCGTGGAAGCGGACCGTCTCCAGGGTGGCGGCGTGTGTGGACAGGAGGAAGTCGACCAAGGCGGTCTCTTGCCTCAGTGAATAGAACTCGACCCTCTTTAGTGAGCTGGGGACCTGGATGCCCTCGAAGCAGCACTCCGTGCCGGGGGTGGCGCGCGCTTCTGGCATAACTTCCACGACAAGGGTCTCCAGCAGCCGAGATGTCAACGCCAATGTTCTGTACAGTTGGGAGTCATGGCCCTTGGTCGTGTCCTTGGGCTGCAATGTTATCCACAGACTCCTCAGTCGGCCAAGCACCTCCTGGCGCTGCAACGCCAGGGCCACCTCCAGCACTGCCGGGGCCGCCTCCAGCGCCGAGGCCGACAATTTGACATTCGCATCGATCTCCAAGTGTTCCACGGCACACCTGGTCGTGCTCAAGGTGTGAACGCAGCCGTCTCTGCTCCTCAGGCCCTCCGCGCGACCCAGGCACGGCGCCAGACGCAGCACCGGGCAGGCCAGCTTCTGGTGGTTCTCTCCCCAACCCCAACTCTTTTCCTGCCACACGGTCGGGTGCATCGCCAGCTCGCCGAGCCGCTTGCACACGAGGCGGCACGTCAGCAGGTCCTTGATGGGCAGGAGCTTCAGCACCTCCAGCAGCGCCAACTCGGGGAGCCGGTCCAGGCTCTGCGGAACGGTAGAACTTGAGACAAAGAGCATCACACTTTGCACATCGCCACTGAGGAAAAACACATCTGCTCCAGGAACACAATGTTTTATCGAGGATCAGCGCGTATTGTCATACTCCTTCATCATTTTAGTGGCAAAGAACTAATCATTTCGTACCAGGAGCAGAAAGCTGGGAGCATTAACATGACGTGACCAATATGTGGTCACGCCCCCATGGTAAACCACAGGCACCAAAAATGAGCTTCAAGGAAAGTGTTTAACTACCATCATGTTGCCTGGGCAGGAGGGGGGAGGGATATTTTCCTCAGTGCGAGTGAAAAGGGTATTTCATTGCTGGACGTGAAGAAGTAAAATGGAGGAACAAAAGGCGCACTGCGCATGAGCAGATGCCCCCCATCCCCCACTCCGCGTCTGCGCATGAGCAGTGCGCGTTTTGTTCTTCCATTTTACTCCTTCAGGCCCAGCTCTGAAAAACCCTATTTGCAGTTACGGTTCGCACTTCCTGCTTACCTGCTCATGTTGGTCTGCGTCCATTTCACTTCCGCAGAAGTCTCCGCGCACTGCAACAGGATTTGATGCTTATCCGTGATCTATCCAGAAAGCCGTTCTGATCCTGTGACTCACAGAAGCTCTGGAGGGCGTGAGAAGTGACGATATGTCAATAAGCGAAACAAGAAATAATGTAAAATAAAGCGACTCCTTGAAAAATACCACTTTTTTCTGGAAAACATTTTTTTCCCTGACACTCCCCAGTGAGAATGGCCATAGCTAAACGATATCAGATCAGACAATTGTCGATTTTGTTTTCGAATCGATGGTCTTGAAATCTGATAGGTCTCCTTGGACCTGGAGGGTGATCGGAGCGGAGAGCTCCCCGGATTGTTCGACCTCCTGTGTCAATCTTAGATAATTTACAGCCCCCGAAATTTTCGTGTTTTGTCAGCAAAAAGGTAAACAACACTAACATTTTAGGGACTGTACCTGAGATCGGCACCGGAAGATTGACAATCCGGGGAGCTCCCCGGTCACCCTCCTATCCTACGACGTGGCCCAACGCGCGCCCAGCACATTTGAACCCATCAGCTGAGTGGCGCGAAGAAGCTTCCCCCACCCTCGCTGGCTTGCGGGAGTGGTGGGGAGAACTAACAACTAACTGTTACAACGCATTCGCCGGGACGCAAATCGCGAATGTATCCCGGCCCTTCTGCGGTTCTCCACAGTAGCCTACAGTGTCAATAGTGATGGCCACGAACAGATACTTACTAATGGAAACAAGAAAGAGCACTTCCCGAAACTCACCTCAAACAAAAGAGAGCAACCGAACTGCCGACCGCTATCACGTCACCGTCTGCGCCGTGGGCTGTTTCAGTTTTCAGTCGGCAGTACCAACTTAAGACAGCCGCTGATGTCTGCCGTCAGAAAAATCGGCCGAGGAAAAGAGCTTCGATGCTCCGAAACCCTTGGAAATCGTCGGCACGTTGAGGCTTCTGGTAGCTGGCAGGTAAATACTTCCACTATAACTGCATTCAAATTCCGTTACATAGCATCCCTGAGTTAGCCACACTGTGGCCGGCCGGTCTCCCCTCCACCTCAACCTCACCTAGGTAGTTCCTCTCCACCGGAGCTGGTGCCTTCCCGAAGGGCTGATTTGTTCCGCCCGCTTAAGCATAAGGTGAATAGCTAGTAAGTATGCGAGTAGCTGTACCTAAGCTGTGTCGCATGTCCTACTCACCTCGACATGAATGTAAGGGAAACCAAATAATTGAAAAAAGGCTTGAAGTTTGACGTGCTGGTGGCATGGATTTAATTTTGTTAAAAATTATTCACTTTGTACATTGCAGGCCACCGTGAGAAGAGGGGAGGGAACGCAGGAGAAGTCACGAAGGTTGGGGCTGTGAGTAGTTGACAAGTTGAGGCGAAGGCATTGGGACTTCTCAGAAGAACACCAGTCAACTAGGTCAGTCCTATTGGGGGCTGGGTGTACATTGACACAAAACTCACAACATACGTGAATAAAATCAACATTTTCTCTGGAAATTAAAAACACACCCAAGAAAAGGAAAACAAAAGTTTTGGACATGAGAAACAATAGTAAAACATTGGTTTGAATACATACATTAGAGGTTTTGTCATCAATGAGCCTTTGTTTTACTTGTACAGGCAAGTAATGCAGTATAATTTGCTAGTAAGAGTTTAAATCTATATCACACTACTTTGTATTGTTTTATCATATAATAAAACCATATCTTACATTTTCATTCCCAAACTTCTATCATACATAGATCAATCAATACATTTTCACCAGTTGTATAAATTTGTAGGTAAAAATAAACATTAGTCAATGGAACAGAACACAAAGCTAAAGACATAAAAAAACAAAAACAGGACGTAAGTTTGGATGATAACTTAACACAAAACAAATACAGTAAAACTTCCCTTCCCAGTCCCCACAGAAAAACCTGGTGGACTCATCATGGCACACACACCAAGATAACACAAGGCAGTAATGAGCAGTCTCACAGCCATTCAATAACATTCCATACCCAAATACAGAAGAGATAACACAACCTACCTAAAGGAATTTATTGATGCACAGCTTCTCCGCCAAAACCATTCTAGACATATTTTTCTGGAGACTTGAGGCTAGATTTATCAGTATCTTCATTTTCAAAAATCTTATACCATAAACCAATAAAGCCAAAACTTCATATGTTATCACTTTAAATGTTTCCAGAGTTGTGAACCACAGTTCAAGACAAACAACACACGGAATATCGAAAAAGTCTTGAATTTTTCCGTTGATTTACTAAGTTAGATTTATTACAGTATTAATCAGACTTGTCTGCTGAATCAAATTGTGGATATTTACCAACCAACTAATCTATACGACTCTTTCAGCCAAGATACAGCATTGGTCCCTCATGAAAATGGTGGGCATAAGATACATCATCTCCACATAAATAAAGGAATTGTCTGTAACATGTACACACTCCACTATATTAAATACTGCTGTATTCTAACAACTGCAAGACTGACTTTTCCAAATATTAGAGTGCTATTAGAATACTCTCTCCAAGCTTATATGGCCAAACAAATGAAACAAATAAAAATAATTTTCTTCTCTGTTTAATTTTTAGCTGAGCATTGCATTCAGTATAGAAACTCTTTAATTTTAAAAGGAGAACAATCACAGCAATAGTAATATTTATATTGGGATGGGGTCATCCAAACAAATCACAAACAATTTTTATCCATCATGGATATTTCAGGTGAAGTATTAACTAGATAGATATTCTGTACTATTGACAAATTTAGATGTATAGATTTAAGCTCAGTCACAACAACAATAAAAATGTGACCATTACATTATTAATAATAAACCCTCCAATTGAAATACCTAACTGGTCTAGCTTATAGAGACAGGAAATACAAAACAACTCTTACTTTCATGAAAAATACACCAACAAAACTTTGACAAACCACGTAAGGAAGTGATCTTATCAAATCACTGTGCCACCCACTCACAATAGATTCT